GTGAGAACTGAGGACCGGACTCACTCGAGGTTTCCTGGAAGCAGAGCAAAAACACTCTTGTCCGTGTCGCATCTCATTTCGCCCCCGTCCCCCGTGCACGGTTCAATGGTAGCTTCGCAGCCCCCTCAGCGGGGGCCTCGAAGACTCCCTGACCCCAGACCTCTGGCCCAGTCCCTCCCCGAAGCCACTGGAAGGAGCACATACTACCTAGAAGCAAGAAGAGGAGCCTGAGAAGAAAACAAAGTTCTATTTTATTAATTTTCTATGTGTTGTGTTTGTAGTCTTGTCTTAGCTCTGGACGTGAAATACTTCCGTAATAATATTAATATTATTAATAATGATGATGATGATGATAATAATAAAGACATAAAAACTCGCCGCCTTCTAAATATTTTCTGGAACATTAGGAACTATAGCCTTTGCTTAAGAGCCAGTTCTGGGTACTCGGGGTTCTCTGGAGGTTTTTAGGAGGGGAGGAGGCGCCTGGCTGGACTCGGAAGTTACAGTTGAGATAAAGGCTGGAGCCTCCAGCGCTGCGCCTCGCCTCGCCGGTGCTGGGGCTCCAAACGGCCTCTCTCGGTGCAGACTTGGGGGACCCAGAAGGGCCGTTTCCCTCGTATTCTGCAGCATTCCCCGTTTGCCCGTGGCAGGAGGGACGCCACCCAGGCCCCCTAGCCCCAGCTCCTGTAGACACTGAGCCAGGAGGGTCTCGCGCCCCGAGCAGCGCTTTTTGGTCCTCCGAGGCCGTGGCCTTTGGCCTGCCCACATGGCCCGATCCCTGCTGGCCTTGGACCTCAGGCTCTTGGCTTGTGGCTCCGGAGACCAACCAAATCAGGGTCGTGCGATATCTCTCCCCCCGCAGCTGAAAGCTCCAGGCGCCTTTTCCTGCCTTAAGTAGGAGTTCAGTGACAAGGAGGGGGATGCGAAGCCACGGGCAGGCCAGGCGCGGGCGGAAGGGCACGACTTTCTCCTCCTTGGGAAACCTGAGAGCAGGGGGCCAGGTTGGGGGCAGGTTAGTCTGCTCTCATCCAATCTACCCCAAACGACCCATTCTCTCTTATCCCCACCCGCGCCCAGGCGGCAAGCTGTGGACGCTGTTTTCCTTTCTTCCTCCTCCCTCTCTCTCCCTTTTTTATTTTTAAAGAAAATAGCCTATCGGCAGAAGGGGCCCAGCTGCGGCTTGTCTCTGGCCGCCCAGCGGGCTCAGCAAGGCGCTGCCGGTCCTTGGAACCTCTTCCCGGGGAAGGCATGGGCCGGCCGCGGGGCACATTCAGAAAGTACCCAGACGCTAGCGAGGGGCCTCCAAAGGCCATAGCAGGCATCTGGTGCGGAGGCGAAAGGCTCCTGCCTGATCCCGAACTCTGAAAACCTCGTTTCCACCCAGACCCCAGTCGCCCGATGCGGTCGCCGCCTCCGTTTTTCCCCGGACAACTAGGCCGTTTAGCCTCAGCCAGGCTCCTCCTCGGGGTCCCTGTCCGGCTCTGCCATTCCCCAGGCTGGGCTAAGGGTGGGAAGGAGGTGGAGAAGAGGATTCCCAACTTCTAAGGGACACAGGAGAAGCGAAAGTTTTTCCTTCCAACACTCTGCCCAGCCCTGCCTGCTCGGCCTGAGGGCTGTGGATGGGCCACTGCAGCCCGGTAGGAAGCAGGCCAGGCCGGGCTGGTGTGTGAGGGTGTGGGTATTCTGTGTCAGTAATTGTTTTCCACACCCATCTTCCAACCCTCTCTCCTATTTCCGCGCCCTACCCGGAGACTTGCAAAAACCAGAGTAAGGGAAAAGCAACTCAATGTCTGATCATCTCATCCAGAGTTAAAATAATAATGACAGAGCGAAGAACACAACTAGAGAGAAATAACCACACTCCCAGGAAAGTGAGTAAAGGCTCAAAGGGGTCCCTCCTCTCAAAGACTCAACCCTGCGGGTGACCCTAGGCCGGGTTTCTTTCCCGCCTGACAGTTTTCGGGGAGCCAGCAGGGAGGCAGCCAGCCTACGCCGCCATGGCGGTCTGCGGCCGGCGCTCCCGCCGATTGCCGGGAGGTGGCGCGCTCTGCTCAGAGGCCGCTGCCAACCTTCTCCCGGCGTCTCCCCCTTCTCCTTGTTTCCCCCTCTCTCGGAGGCTCGCATTGAATCGGCCCTAACGATTCTCGGATCGTCATTATTTGTAACCATAGAGCATGAATTACCTCTTGAGGTCATCAGTGAGAATTTACGACTGGTCAACAAAAGCACGTGATTCCCTAACGCCCCCCCATCCCCCTTCCAACCTCCCCCCCCCATATTTGGCCGCATACATAGCAAAACGAAGTACAGTGCATCGCTATAATTCATTAATACATCATAAATCGTGAAGCACAGGGTTATAACGACCACGATCCACAAATCAAGCCCTCCAAAATCACCCAAATGAGCTCCTACTTTGTAAACTCCTTCTCGGGGCGTTATCCAAATGGCCCGGACTATCAGTTGCTAAATTATGGCAGTGGCAGCTCTCTGAGCGGCTCTTACAGGGATCCCGCTGCCATGCACACCGGCTCTTACGGCTACAATTACAATGGGATGGACCTCAGCGTCAACCGCTCCTCGGCCTCCTCCAGCCACTTTGGGGCGGCGGTGGGCGAGGGCTCGCGCGCCTTCCCCACGCCCGCCCAGGAGCCCCGCTTCAGGCCAGCGGCGTCGAGCTGCTCCCTGTCCTCGCCCGAGTCCCTGCCCTGCACCAACGGCGACAGCCACGGCGCCAAGCCCTCTGCCTCGTCCCCCTCCGACCAGGCGACCCCGGCCAGCTCCAGCGCCAATTTCACCGAAATAGACGAGGCCAGCGCGTCCTCGGAGCCAGAGGAAGCGGCGAGCCAGCTAAACAGCCCGAGCCTGGCTCGGGCGCAGCCAGAGCCCATGGCCACCTCCACGGCCGCGCCCGAGGGGCAGACTCCGCAGATCTTTCCCTGGATGAGGAAGCTGCACATCAGCCATGGTAATTCTGGCTCTCTCCTCTTTTTTGTGTCTTCTCGGCCCCTGCCTTCTCTGCGTTTGGGGGGTGGGGGTCGGGGCGAGGAGCGGTTGGCTTTCCTCAAATATAGGTTTATTATTTTTTTCCAGGGGGGGCAGAAGTCTCTAAGAGAGTCCTCACAGCTCCAGGGACAGAGCCAAAGAAGGTGTTTAGCTGGGAGGGGGGGGGGTCGGGGAGGAGTATTTTAAATAATTTGTTCCCCGACTCGGCTTGGGTTTTATTCGCCCAGCTGTACTAGCTGTGGGATGAGGAATGGGGTTTCTGGAAGGTGGGGAAGGGTCCTGCTCGCTACCGAAATGTGGAGGCTGCCACCGGCAGAGGAGGGGCGAGGAGTCCAGCTTTCCAGGGCCGAAGTGCAGCCGCTCTCCTCCCTCCGGGGGGCCAGCGGGCCGCCTGAGCCCAGCGCAGGGTGAGGCGCAGGGAGGGAGCCAGAGACAAAGCCGGGCGCTTCGCTGCCCGCAGACGTGGGGGCTGCGGGAGAAGAGGGTGCAGAAAGCGAGCTCGGATTCGGGGCCTCTGGAGGGGGGGAGGATGGGCGCTGCAGCGAGCTGGTGGCCGGGGACGCCTGGGTCCTGCTCCACGCCCCCCTCCCACCCGGGGCCCCCCTCCCTGAACCCGAGTAACGTGGCCTCGCGGCTCTGCTCTGTCTGCTCCAGATATGACCGGGCCTGACGGCAAGAGGGCCCGGACCGCCTACACGCGCTACCAGACCCTGGAGCTGGAGAAGGAGTTCCACTTCAACCGCTACCTGACCCGGCGGCGGCGCATCGAGATCGCCCACGCGCTCTGCCTGTCCGAGCGCCAGATCAAGATCTGGTTCCAGAACCGCCGCATGAAGTGGAAGAAAGATAACAAACTGAAAAGTATGAGCCTGGCCACAGCCGGCAGCGCCTTCCAGCCCTGAGTCCTCTGGGAGGAGCCCTGGGCGGCCCAAGAGCCCCGGCCGCCCCCAGCCCCGGCCCCTCCGAGCCTCCCCGCGCCGCCGCCGCCGCCGCCCGCTGGGGACTGGATCCCATGCGCCTGCCTCGCCCCAGCCTTGTGTTACCATGTTTCGTTTGGTCTTAGATCTTCCCGTGGCTCCCTCTCTCCTGGACTGGTTGATCTTGTTATTATTGTTAATAATGATGATAATTATTATTTCCCCTCCCTGCTCCTGGCTCCCCTCCGCGCGCCCCACATCCACCAGTGTTTCTGAATGTTCGTGTCCGTGGTTGCACTCCTTCCCCCAGGAAGAAAAGAAACTCGCATGTGTAATGTGAACTTTCCCCTCCCCATCTTGTTCTTCTAACTTATTTATAAAAGGATGAGCGCTGTATTTTGAGTTTCAGCTGGAAACTTCTCTAAGGGGCAGCAGTGGAGGTGGGGTGGTTCCGCAGTGCCGGGCCCAGCTGAGCTGGCCTCGGAGATGGAGTCCATGACTGTGTTTCTTTCCGCCCTCCTCTCCCTCCGCCCTCTCCACTCCCCAGGCCCAAGTCTCTTGGTGGCTTGGTCCCTGGGTGGGAAGGGGCTAGGGAGGACCAAAGCGGTGATGTTGAGAAGAGGGAAGGTATATAGTGAGATTTGAGTTCCTGCCGCCTGGGTAGGCCCCACAGGCCTGCCCTGGGAGTGTACGGAAACAAAAAGAATCCTCAGTGTAAAATGTCTTGTGTATTCCTCTGTGAATCCATGGGCCTGGTGTAGAGAGGCCTAACGCTTGTAAATATGGGGATACTCTGGGTAGACCCATCTCCTTCCCCCCCTTATCCATTTTGCTTCCAAGACTATTTGTAGTGAGCGAGTGGATGCTGTGCTACGTGTGAAATCTGTCTTTGCCGGGCCTGTCTCAGTGATTCGCTTTTGGTATTTGTTTGTAGCTTTCCTTAAAGTCAAATAAATGTTTCCCCTACTCCACTGCCCTTCCACTTGTCTTTTCTCTGAGGGGCCTGCCTCTCCCATCACTGGGCACACCCTAGACCATGCTTGATGGGTCTGGGGAGCAGGGAAGGGAAAACAGGATGCTCACCAGCAGCCCCTCTCAACTACCTAAGCCCCTGGCTGGCTCAGCAGTGCTTGGGCCAGAGGACAGGCCTGCACGCCTGGGGGACTGAGGCCCAGAAACCCCACATGGGGCTGGGGCAGGGAAAGGCTGAGCTGGACTTCACCCTGGCCTTCCACCAGCTGGTCAGAAAAGCCCCTGAAACCTCTTCAGGGAATGTAATTTGGGCCTAAGTTCTGAGCAGGAGGCTCCTGGCCAGTTGGGAGTGGTACTGGGGTACCCAGCTCCCCTGTCCCCTGCTCCAAATCCCAATTCAGTTCTGCCACCCACTAAAGCAAAAATAAATAAATAAACCCGCTGGATTTCAAAGGTTTCCCTCACCCTCAATCTTCTCTGCACTTATCAAGGGCTCTCTCTCTCTCTCTCTCTCTCTCTCCAGGGGCCTAACTGACCTTCCCTCTTGATTAGGAGTTGGGGGGTCCCTCCTGGAAGACCCCTGGTTCCCCCTCCAGTCAGACTGGCCTAGGGCCAGGGCCCAGTCCTCCTCCATCCAAGTCAGCCTCCACCCTGAGCGCAAGAGTCAAGTCTGAACACTTACCCGCACATCCCTTCCAGCTTGGCCCAACTTCTTACAGGACTTGTGGGGGAGGGGAAGCTGGTGAGGAGGCAGCAGAGGGTCTTGGAGGCTCTACTGGGCCCTCTTTCCCCCTCACCCCTTGACTTTGTCCCCCTTTGTCCATAGCAAACTATCCCAAAAGTCGCTATGACATTTAGATGTCAAATGGATAGGGGTTTTATCTCGAAGTTAGATCGTAAAAATCGCGGAGAAGTCAGACAGATACCCCTCACTGGCTCGAGAAAGTCACGTGAGGTCCATAAAGTTAGTTTTATGGTTTTGGGGAGTTGACACCGCACGGTATATTTCACATTCTCCAGAATGTTAAGTGACACTTTAACTGCTCGCTGTGGTGGGGAAGGGGGCAGAGGTAGGTGAGGGCTCTCCCAGCCCAGAAGGCAGTGGCGGCGGCGGCGGAGGCCCAGCACTCCCGCAGTAAGTGGCTTCCAGCTTTGGCTTTCTCCCCTTGCAATTTTGGGGCTTGGAACTGGGGAAGGAAATCTTGCCTCCGGCAGGGCTATAGGATAAGTGGGCGAAATTTGGTCTGCTTTTTGCTTTTTCCACCAAGATCTGACAAACTGGGTGTCTGAATGGGGGGGGGGCATTTAGTTCAATAAGGCCTCAGTGGTTGGGGCGCCTGGTTTTTTATTTGCAAGAGTGTCTGACTCTTTGTGGGGGAAGGGTCTGTGTGGGTTCCTTCAGTGTCCTTGGACAGTTAGGTGGTAAGAAGGAGGGGTGTGTGCTACTGAAAGAAGGGCCCCTTGTGGGGGCCAGTTCACTGCTGGGTCTTCAGACAGACATCTCCCACCCCCAGGAAAGAAACTTTATGGCATTCATTTGTTAGGGGTGTGTTGGGGGTGCGCTGCTGGGCACTTTTATCTGGCTACATCTGAACTGAGAAAAAGCACCCAGAAGGCTAAGGCAGCTGCCTTGCACTGGAATATTCTTTGGTTTTCAGATCTTGAACCCCATGAAAGGGGTACCTCTGATTCTCTGCAGCCTCATCAGGATTATCCAAGATGGGAAGCATGGCGCTTTTGCACCCCACTTCAGCCTGTTGGTCCCAAGCCTACCCTTCTGCTGGGGTCTAAGTAGGGTCCTGAGATCAGAGTGGGGAGCGGACAGAGCTGCAGTGGGCTGAAGGGGGGAGCTTCTCCCCCTGCCTAGAGGGGTTAGATGCTGAAGTAGGTCCCCGAAAATCCTTCCACAAATAAAACTTGCTCAAGAAAGTAGACCCAACTGTCCGGAGGGATAAAAGGGACTCAGGAGCTGGGAGAGAAAATTGGAAAGGTGCTTTCTTTCCCGTCCTCTCCTTTTCTCCTCTCGCGCTACCAGATCCTTAAATGCCCTTTTGTTTTGTGTCACCACAAACCAAAGGGATTTCATTATTTGACCCTCAGGAGCCTGTTATTTTCCAAGGATAAGTCACCCTTCCAAAAACCAGAGGCCTCTTCTCCACCAAATTGACCCCCCAATTTTGAGACTTATTGGGTCAACCGCCTTGTCACTCCAGCTTTTGCCAGCCTGCCAGCTCTTGCTTCCGCTGACCAATTCCTGTGGATAGTGCCTGGAATTGGACATGTGGCACCTTAAGAAGCTTCTGGTCTTTGGGACAAGGAGAGGGTCACAAGATTCCCTCCATTCCCCCTTAAAGGACCTTCTCCCTCTCTCCCTCTGTCCCCGCAGCTACCCTCTGCTTCCTGAACTCTTCAATCCCTGCACAGGCCTGACTTACAGGAGAGCCTTCACAGGCTCTGAGAGCAGAAAGGACAGAGAGCTCGGGGTCCTCACCCTGATTTGAAGACCCATCTCCCCAAGAATGATGGGGCATTTGTATACTTTGGAAAGGAGGCTCTTCTCCCAAAAGATTCCCAGCAGCATACCAAATACTAATACATGTCGGCCAGAGCTTCCACTGTGGATAAGGCAGATGAGTTGAGTGAAGTGCAGAGGAAGCTGCCTCAGGGGCAGAATCCGACCTGGGGCCTCCTGGGAAGCCCCATCCTGTTGCGAGCCTGCCTCCCCTCTCCCAGAAACGCCAGCCCACCAGTCCTGCGTCCCTGCAGAATTTTTGGCCCTCTCCCACGTCAGTTCTGCAAATTCTGATAAAGAGCGTGGGACCTACGGCCCAGGGACATGTGCTGGGCATATCTAGACAGATTTTCCGGAGTGGTAAAGAGCAGCCCGGAGCAGGCGGATTGCCCATTTCCGCTGCGGAGGCCAAAGCGCTTGGAAGGTCTTCTGCTCTAAGCGGGTCCCGGAGAAGACGCTCTCGCTGGGCTTTCCTCTTCTCCCCTTGAGTAACCGTCTCTGGACAACAGTCTTCCTTGAACCCCAACAGGGACCTGTTTGGGGAGGAGATGAGAGGTGAGCAGGGGTCTTTGGTGCAAAGGAGCTCTGTCCTCTGCCCCAGACCTCCACCCGCCCCTCCCACCTTCCTCAAGACATTCTCCAGGTCTCGCTGGGACTTTTCACTCCCTCCTCTCCTACCAGCGACTGCGGCTTCCTCTCCATTCAGGCCTCAACCTTCTGAGCTGCCGGCTGGTGCCATCTGGCCAGATCCTTGCGCCCAGCCTCCCAGCCAACAGCGCACCCTCACCTCCGGGCAGGGCCCAGGAGGCGGCAGCAGGACTTTGAGGCTGAAGTTTCCCTTTCCCCCTTGGAGGCCAGCCTGACCATCACTCAGTAGACAATTTGATTGTTTTGTTTTATTTGGTTGTGTTTTTTGTTTGTTTGTTTTGTGTTGTTTCTCCTTGGCCACAGGGGTGGGAGGAAGTATAAAGAAGTGTAAACAGGAAAGCCAGCCGGCCTGGAGTTCCGAGGGCCCATATTTCATTGGCTTCCTTTCCATAACTGCAGCCGGGACACTTAACCCTTCCCTGGCTGTGAGAAGGTATTCAGTGGGGGCTGGTGAGGCAGGGTGTGGGGAGGAGAGACAAGTTGGAAGCTCCTTTCTGGCCCTGATCCCTTTATCCCTGGGGTCTGGGTGCCGGGGTGGAAGGCCGAGGATTCAGAGCAAGGGAGAAGACAGGCAGACGGCACTGTGCAATCGCCCACACACACGCAGTCCCTGTGGGGACGGAGAGGAGAAGGCTCATGCACTTCACAGCCTGGGGCCAACCTGGGCCAACCTGGGAGGACAGGGCTGGCAAGAACCCCTCCCTTCGGATAGGGGAGAGCCCACTGGTCACTCTCTTCATTTTGGGAGATTCTAGGAGTAATCAGATTTCAGGCTGGGCTCTGCCCACAGCGGGATTTATCGATTACTGCAGCACTGTTACACATCCATATTAATTAACCCAGACACCGCCTAGAAACCAAGGAGGGGGAGGGGAGAAATAGGGGCTCCTTAAGGAGTAGGGACAAATCTCTCTGAGCGTCCCTGGGGCCCAGATTGGAGAGTCATTCCCCACAAGAATCCTATGGCCTTCCCCGGCTCAGTTCCTGCACTTCTCAGCAGGGATAAGTGAGAGGTACTCTCTACAGTCCACCTCACACCAAATCTCCTGGGGGCGGGGAGGAGAGGGAAGGAATTAAATACCTACCCCCAGGACCTATGGACTTTTCCTAGTCAGAGTTAGGGTGCCCCAGCCCTCGAATGGACAGATTTTTTGATACTTGTTCCCTGCTTGACCTTTATAGAGGGGGTAGTGTCCCTCCCCACCTTTTTTTCAACTTCCCCAAGGTACAAGCTTTTTCTGGTCTGGAAGCTTGTTTTGTTTTAGTGTTTGGTGGTGGTGGTGGTAGTGATGGCCTATCCCTTCCTCCTGCCCCTCCCTCCAAAAAGTGATTAAAATCTGTTAAAGGATTTAATTAAGAGAGTTAAATGAAAATGAAGGAGGCGCAAATGAGTTGGGGAAGAAAACCCACACCAAAGCTATTCTCAACGATTAAATCGCCATTTTAACAATATAATGGAGTTTGCATCCTGAAAGGGGAAATCAACGCTCATATCTCATCAATAATTCATAGAGTTCGGGATCACGCAGAGGTCAGCAGACAGGGCCAGAGCGCCGGCCTATGTGGGGCTGCCAGCCGCTGCCGCATACATTATTCGCCGGGTGCCAACCGCTACCTCCACCGCTCAGCCCCGGGCCGGGGCATGCCGGCAGGTTTAGGCGGATTTTGCGTTCTTTCATTTTGGAGAATTTACTGAGACCGCATTTCGGGCTCCAGGAGGAAATGGGATTTAGGAGACGGAAAGGATTGAACTTCAGGCAGTTGGGGATCTGTCCGACTCTCAATATGACCACCTTCCCAAATTGTAATCTCTCTTCCCCTTATTTCTCCTCCCTTT